AAAAAAAACACCACACTCTGAGTTGGCTCCTCTCTGTGACTCAGGACAGCTCGGAAGGGGCCGAGTTTTCACCAGCCAGCCGCTCCCCATTAATCCGGGATGGATCCGTTTCCATGCCGGCTTTCCAGATAGCCAGAACCGGAAGCCGAGCCTGGAACGAAGGGAAGCTATTAACCTGCGTGTCAAACAAATGCAGGGCTAATCTCTTCCAAATGTATCCACGGGAGATAAAGCAGCAAGAGCGACTCTACCGGCGTGACCCCCCATTTCCAGTGTGAGAAGGACGAGATCCCTAAAGAATTACTAACTATTGTTTGCAATTCCAAGGAATTTGGGCAGGCTTTTCTTTTTAGGCACCTCTTTTAGCGTGGTTTGCTGGCGCTCTGCGTGTTCCTGATCTCGCCGGTGCAACGGCCTCTTCCCCTCCGGCAGAGCAGAATAAATCCCGTATAATCTGAGGCAGAGCAATGTCCTCAGGCACCGCTCTCCCAGCCAGAGCTACACCCTGTTCTGGGTGTATTTTGGCCTGCGCTGATTCTACTTTGCTCATACCCCGCAGAGGTGATTTTTCATAACAACTTTGGCATTTTCTGTTTTTTTGGGTTCTCTGTTAAGTATTTTTTTTTCTGGGACCGCAGAGCAGTTTATTGTGTGGCTGTAACTAAAGTTGTTGGCCCTGTCCTGGCTCCTTCGCTGCTTAATCCGACTTGTTCCCGGCCCCGGACGTGTGCGTGGGAGGTGTCGGAGCGGGGCTGCTCCTTACCTACCCCTGCAGCAATAAAAACAGCTGGTGGCAGAGAGAGTCTGACAGCAGCAAAAGAAAATAACCGTTAATGCAAGGTAGAGGGGGGTTCCATTTATACATGTCCCCCCAAAATAGGGGTGAAGTGGGAGGACTTGGATCTTGCTTTCAATGCGCCCTAGCGAAACTGGAGCTTGCAGGACTCCTAACACATGGCTGCAGATACACTACCCTCTGCTGGAGACGGGCTGCTGTTTCTCTTGCAATTTTGGAGTTTAATTGCACATGTTTTTATTGCCTTCCCACGCGAGAGAGGCCTGGGGATGACTGAATGCGCCGGGAGGCTAACAGCAGGGATGATGTGAGGCTTTTTCACCCCGTGAGAAGCCCCTCGTCCCTAGGCACATCCCCATCGGCCGAGGTCTCAGAGAGGGCTCCCCAAAGGGCCAGAGTTGGTGGCTTTGGGTACCCGTGGTTCTCCCTTCTCCTGGCATCATCTTGGCAATGTAGCTACTCCCTGCTGGGGCCTCTGCTTCATTTTTGATGGTGGCAGAGCGGGTAATTTTTCAGAGATTGAGGCACCTCATCCTTGCCAAAAAAATCACCTGGTTTCTGGGGATTATTTTACATTTCACCCTGCAGCTCCTGCCCGGTCCGGGCTAACTCCTTTGCCCTGGTCTAGCGGGAGGTACAAACCACACAGCAGCAGCGGGGCAATTTAACAGAAGGAATTTTAATAGCATGTTCATTCCTTTCTCATTTTGCTCTATCCCTGTTTTCCATTCTCTTTGTGCCTGGTCGCAATGCCGGAATGGAAACACTGGCACTTTTGTTCGGTGCCCAAGGCCGCGCGGGCAGGAGCGGCGGCCGCATCCGGAGCGAGAGCTCCTTGCGAGGGGATTAGACAGCGCTGCCTTGGCAGCGGGTAAGGACATGGAGAGCTTCAATGCAGCCTTAGCAGCAGCGGAACCAACCGCGCGTCCCTCTCGGGAACCGGCTTCTCGCGCTGCCCGGGGGATGCGCGGGTGCCCGGGGGAAGGAGACGCGGCCGCGGGCAGGAGCGGCGGCCGCATCCGGAGCGAGAGCTCCTTGCGAGGGGATTAGACAGCGCTGCCTTGGCAGCGGGTAAGGACATGGAGAGCTTCAATGCAGCCTTAGCAGCAGCGGAACCAACCGCGCGTCCCTCTCGGGAACCGGCTTCTCGCGCTGCCCGGGGGATGCGCGGGTGCCCGGGGGAAGGAGACGCGGCCCGAAGGGGCAGCGAGGGTGGCACGAGGAGGTGGCACCGG